AGTCCCGAATTTCGGAAGTGCCGAACCATAGTGCCGAAGTCTCAAATTGCAGAAGTCTCGAATTTTGGAAGTGCCGAACCATAGAGCCGAAGTCTCAAATTGCAGAAGTCTCGGATTTCGGAAGTGCCAAATCAAATTTTTTGCCCATGCACATCCCTAATACATAGACAGCCGATATTTTTTAAGCTATCGACGGAGCTCCATGTTTGTATTAATGGATCTGTAATGTGAAATTGGATACATAGCCTTGCTCTGGGGTTACTCTAGATTAACATTTTTTGATAATTCTAATTGTATTAATGTCTCAGTTTCCCTTTGCTCATATTTCCAGCACATTATAATTGGTATAGAAAGTAAAATATATATTAAGACATCAAATGGTAATCATATTGTTGATTTTTACCCAGGAGAGACACCGAGCAAGATGATTGGTTAAAGAAGATACATTTAAAGATTTGAACAACCAATGAGAATGTAAAGTGAAATACATTATGAGACATTTGAATTGAAAGGTAGCAGAATTTATTATAAACTGAACACATTAATATTAAACGTGTCAAAAAAATCTATTCAAGGGTTAAAATAACTTTATTGATGTTAGTGGGTTGAATTAAAGACAATCTGCATAAAAAAACACACAAATTCTATTCTAATGTTAACAAAATAAAACAAACTCCTCAATGTGGTTTCACGTGCTGTTTCTTTGTGCCTTACCCGAATGCATTACGAATGTTTTCCAATAATGATGTGACTTCATTCTTTGCAGTAAACGTAAAGTGATCACTCACTGCAGTTTTCAAACAGAACCGAGAATTATTATTAATTGGGTTTTTTTTGTCAGTAAGTTTCAACCGATAATTGTTTCATAATGTTTCAAACATTATTTTGACTTTTTGGCACAATATTTGGGATTACTGTTATACATTTAGTTATACCTCCATGATGCCAAAATCACAAAACCATCGATCTTTCACTTCTTTCTTGGTTCACGTTGCTCACAGTTGTGTCGATCACATGGCCGGAATAGCCGGCTTATAGAGTGCCTGCAGGGGGACTGCCTGAGCGGAATAAGTGGGCGCTATATAAATTCTTTATAACTTTGTCTACTCCTCCAGTAAAACTTTCATTCTAGCACAAGTCAGGCTCAGTTAGTCTCTATAATTCTGCCAAATTTCAAACATTTTTATATAGCCCTTTGTTTTTATAGGCATTCGGAAAAAGTGGTTGAATAATATTTATAATAATAATAATAATAACATTAATACTATATAACATGAATAATAATAATATTAATACTAAATAACATGAATAATAATAAAAATAATCTAACCAAACACAATAGGTTTTGCTGAGTAACTTTGTTGTTTGGCCTCCTAATAAATTGACTAAAATGTACCCTCCCATTAAATGAACGTTTGTTTTTTCCTTATGTATTTCCTTCTCCATATAATGACATATATAGCACCAACATATTACGTAGCTCTGTACAATAGGTAAATAAGACAAACAATTAATTGTAACAAAATATATTGTGATTCTTACATTGTATATAAACCGTTATAAGACTGGATCTAAATGAGTTCATTAGATAGGTCTATCGGAAAACAATAATGGACATGCTACATCCTTGGTGTATTCATTCAGCTTCCAGGATATCATACTGGTAACCTAAGAACTTATTGCCCATCACTTTTGCTGTCATTTTTGGGTAATCGAAAATGTGTGTTATCCGGAAACCCATGCTTTCATACACTCACTGGCCACCAACTTGAGCTATTGAGGTCTCCAAGATAACAGCTTGGAAACCTTTCTTCCGAGCAAAGTCAATAATTGTCTTGCATAAGGCTTTGGCAATCCCTCTACCCCGGTGACTCTTAATCACCGCCATTCTTCTGAGCTCCACATGCTTCTTCCCGCCAACATGTGTTAATGGAGCAGCGGCCACAGTGCCCACAACTTTCCCCCCACACTCAGCCACCCAAAACCCATAACCTTCCCTCTGCAAATAATATTTCCCAATATCCAACATGTCATTTGAGAATGTAACATGGACGTAGGAATGGAAAAACTCTCTACTGCACATCCAGAGTACAACCATCACCAAGATAATACCCAAGACAGACACAAGGAATGATCCAGTGGTTAACAACGACAGCAGGAAAATGGCCAGCATGAACAGTCTGATATGGGAGAATCGCAAGGCTTGATAGAATCCGTCTGGGGTTAGATCCTTCACGCACTGAGCATACACCTCTCTGACCATCCCATAGTCTGACTCCTGGTACAATCGAATACGGCAATCCGTCATGATCTCCTAGAGAGGGTGAAACATATAATAAAAAAGAGGATTTTCTAAAGTCTTGAAAGAGAAATTAATTGGTTTATTTATAAGAAAATTAGTTTCTTGTGCATATGGAAGCCCAATACATCAATTACTGAGAGAAGGTACCATTCCTTGAATGTGTACAGGCAGAAGGGGTATCTTGTAACATTATCTGTTACTCTATCTTTAATATAACAACTTCAAAAGAATAACAATGTAACAACGGGAGACTCCCGCATGTATAATGCGGCTCCTTGACACCCGCATACTGTTGGGTAATTTAAGGTTTTATATGTATGGAATATTGATTGAATAATATCTGATGATATTCACACACACATAGAGCCTTCATGGGCCCTGTAGTTCTTTGTTTTAAGCGGTGATATAAACACCTATGAACGGCAGATGGCCAATAAACAGACTTTGCTTAAAATATATATAAATTTAATAATACACACTATAAAATGCAAAGCAACAAAACAATACAACTATAAGCAATTTGCTATATTATATATGAGTTTCTATCAACAAGTCAATGAATTTACTTGACAAGCCTAAGAGTCAACATTACACTTTGTCTCATCTATAATCTTATCAGCAAAGGACATTAAAAGCTATTACAAACTTCACAGCAATACCAGTATACAGAATTAATCATATGACAGCCCTTGCATTAATGATACAATTGTCATTATATTAATTAGTTAAATATCAACCAACCCTGCCAAGTATAAACCATCAGTTTAACTAAAGTACGCTTATATAAGGTTTCTGATAGCCTTAGTATATATATATATATTTGTGTTCGGGGCATTCTCATATGATATGGAATACTCTGGCGGAGAGTAATACAATAAAAGGAAAAAGTCGGTTGAGGTGTGCCGAAAACCGACGTATGCTGTAGGCCGGTAAATAAAGTGGGCAAAAAGAGAAAGCAAGATAAACATTTATTCAGTAAACATAAATACAAAGAAAAATACAAATACATTATTAAGTAGACATATTAATGAAAGCCCTCCTAAGCTCTTGGACTGGGTGCGGAATGTAGGTAGCGTAAGCTGAGGACTTCCATCGACCCAGTGTTTTAATGACATGCACGGGAACATTTTGGCTAGAGGCTGTGGAGGCCGCTCCAATTCTGAAGGAGTGCCCCGAGTAGCTACTAGGGTTCAGACCAAGCCTGGTGATAAGCATTCAAACGTAAAGCATGAATTTCGACGTGGTGAGAATGGTATCGTGCAGCAGTAGTAGAGGCCTTGTGGGCTGTGTTTGTTTCGTGGTTAAAAAAACGTCTAGTGCTTTTACTGGGCACCAATTGTTACCCGTGGGGTAGTAGTTAATGTGAACTGGTTCCCCCATCTGACTTGTCTTAGTCTTAGGTAGAGACAGGACATAGTAGTCTGTGTGTTTCGTGAGATGTGACGTGAGGAGGCACCCTTGGTTATGCAATTTGCCACTAACGGTGAATTCTCGTGGTCTAAGAAACCAGTAAAAGGCCAGATACATGGCGGCTTTAATAACCGCGTTTGTATTGGGTTCAAAAGGTGCTTGGTCGAGTAGATTGGACAGGGATTTGAACATTCCTATGTCAATAGCCAATCTTTTGGGCGTAGCTGGACCGTCTGCCTTTGCTATACCCTTCAGTAGCGTGTGGATGGGGTATGAGGTTAAGAACCCTTTGTGGTTAGGGAATGAGTAGTACATGTGGTGTTGTATCCCCGTGAGATAAAGCTTAATGGTGTTATGTGTGAATTTTAACTTAAGGTGGCAAAAGGATGCAAAAGCCATTAGTGACGATACCTCGAACCAGTTGGTTAGGTGATGGTCAGTCATGAATCGTTTATATAGGTGAAAAGCTCTGTTATATGAGTGTTGAGTGCTAGTGGACAAAGCTAATTTTGTGAGAGTGAGGCTGTGATGAAGTAGTTCATCTATTCCATGACAAGGTCTTGGAAGGTTGGTGCTGGGGTTGCCATACGAGCTGCTGAGGGTAGGGACCGTCTGAAAGCCTGAAATTGAAAGCGAGATAGCTGGTCAGCTGCTATTGTATATGCCGGGAACATGGGAGCATACAATGTGGAAGTGATGGGTGGCTGCCAGCCAAGTCAGTTTCCTAATGAAATTCATAATTATCAAGGAGGAAGAGCGGCCTTTGTTGATAATGTGGCATATTGCCATGTTATCAGAGAAACAGCGTACTGACTGACCTTCCCACAACCTACACCAAGTGACAGCTGCGGCAACTATTGGGTATACCTCAAAAAGGGCAGAGTTAGTGTGAAACCCCTCGATGCCCTGTGTTTCTGTTGGCCACGTCCCCCAGAGCCAATTTGTGCCAAAAATGGGCGCATATCCCGCGGATGATGCTGCATCTGTCCAAATGACAGGTGACTGAGAATCCAGCTGTGGAAGGAACATGCTCCTACCATTCCAGTCAGAGAGGAATCTGTACCACATCTGAAGGTCGGCAGTCGCAGGGCCGTTCAAAGATATGCGGGCATAGTCGTTGGTGAAGGTGGGGAACAGGGCGAGGAGCCTGGAAATGAAAACCTGGGGGATTATGCGCATGGCGAAATTTAGTGAACCCAACAGAGATTGTAGTTCTTTACGGTTGCATGAGCCCCTGTGCATGTAGTGGTTAATGTCGTGTAGAATGTTATCAATCTTAGTTCTAGGGAGGCTGGCCATCATAGTTGCTGAATCGAGCAGAATACCTCGGAAGTTGATGACTGTGTCTGGACCTTCTGTCTTGGTGGGTGATACGGGGACGCCGAGTGCGGTGAATAGTTTGACAGCTTTGTGTAGGCTACACGGGGGGTTGGTGTTGGCTTCGATGAACAGAAAATCATCCAGATAGTGTATCACATTTTGGCACCTACTGGTATTAAGGAGGAGCCAACACAAAGCCTCAGCGAACGTGTCAAAGATCCTTGGACTACTCTTGGCTCCAAAAGTGAGTTTTGTAAAAAAGTAGTAGGCTTCTTGCCACTTAACTACGTGTAGGTGCCATAACGAGGGGTGTATAGGTAACAGTTTAAAAGCGTTGACTATATCCGTCTTGCTGAGCCAGGCCCCCACCCCCGCTGACCTGATAGCTGCAATAGCGTGGTCAATAGTGGAGTACTGTAAGGAAAATTCTTCCGAAGGAATCAATGAGTTTAGGCTGGGGATGGCTGAAGAGTGGGGAGCGGATAGGTCAATGATGAGCCTTTGCTTGTCTGAATTTTTACTTGTGACAAGCCCGATAGGGTTAGTTCTCCAGCTGAAAAAGGGGGGATTACCAAAAGGACCGATGACAAATCCCTGGTCCACTTCCAGTTGTAGCAAGTTAGTGACTGCGGTAGGGTTATTAGAGGCTGACTGCAAATTGTGACATTCTAACACTCCTGTTGGCATGTAAATGAGCCCCGTGTGAAACCCGTGGGTGAGACCTGTGCATAAAAATTCCACCAGGTGTTTAGAGGGGTGAGTGGACAGCATGTGTTCAAGTACAGGAACGTTCACTGGAGACAAATAAGGTTTCTGGAACATTTTATTTGTGCACATGGATCTCGCATGTGCCCGAAAACAGTGTGAGCATACATGTAATAAGCGGAAAGCGCTGTAACCACAGGAGCCTTCATTGAAGTTATTGCAAATTTGTGACTTGCCTAGGTACACAACCGGACGACCCAATTTGTCTCTGGTCTGTTTCTCAGTTTTAAGGGGGTGCGATAGGGACGTGCTGGGAGCGTTGTCCGGGCAGAGGGGGCACAAATAAGCTGTGTGAGCAGGTGACGTACATATGGCACAAGCTGGTGTCCTGAGCCCCGCAAAGTGTCTGAGGAACAATTCATTGTCCAGTTGGCTCCAATCCATCTGGATGCCATACTGGGACAATGTGGCTGACACTTTAGATGAAAAAGACTTGTGATAGTCATAAAAGTGTAACCACCATATTTGTTACCCAGGTCCACCAGTTTATGCATATATAAGTCCAGTTCCTCTCTCCTGTGTGGATGAACTGAGCACAGGATGTCCCTATAGATACCAAAAGACAGGACAAAATCGGGAATGGTCAATTTCTTACTGAGTCTGGGGTCTCTGGTTTTTAAAACAACAGAGATGTCCCCGTAGTCGTAAGAGCGGTTTTCCACTACATCCTGGGAGGCAATGAGCAAAGAGACCAAGTTTACGTCCTTGCCCTCCAGGATGTCTTTTTTAAGATTGGCCGGAACCATGTGGGCAGGGTTAATAACATGTGCCGCTGTCTTGTTAGGTATAGGATTACCCGCTGTTGCTGTGGATATGACCGGGGCTGTTCCAGCGAGAGGTACAGGTGGCTCTATGGCGGAGCTGCGTGCCTCCAGCCTTTCCAGTCTGTCGTTGACCTTCCCCATAGAAGAGATTAGGGAGGCAACCATAGCATGGAGAGTCGGGTCTTGGGAGTTACTAGTGCCTTCCCCTGCGTCTGTCATAAGGGTGTTTGTTTTAAGCAGTTTAAACAGTTCTGCTTTCCTGGCCGTGGCCGGGAAAGGGATACTGCGTTTGCGTAATTCCGCCGTGATGCGAGGGATAGTCCACGATCTGATGGACGAGGGACTTCCTATGTCGTCCTTACGTGTCGGGGTAAGTGACCTAGCCGGGGTGCTAGGGACTGACATGTCGTTGCCATCGTCTGGGAGCAGGGACATACTGAAAGTAATAACAGGCATAGTTGGAGGCTCGTTGGAATAGCCGGTAGCTAGTTAGGCCAGATGGCGAAAAACTTAACTCTAGGTTTTGTGGCAGGTGAGGCCCTACTAGTGCCAAGTGGCTAGAGAGGCTCTATCTATGAGTTGGCGCGAGGGGTATGGTAGCCTGCCCAGTGAAACGGGATGTTTGCCTCTCCAAGGGTAAGTACGGAGGAAGAAAAGGGGGGGGGGTTTTGGTAGTGACAGGTGTCGCCCTCTCTGTATAATTGCGAGGCGGCTAACTATGATTTGGCCCGAGGGGCGTAAAGTACCTCGAAGTGGAGGATGGGAGTTGGCCTCGCGGACCTCTATGATTAAGGGGCAGGGAATTAACTAACGTGGCGTTGTAGAAAAAGAAGCGTGTAACCAACATACCTGCAGAAAATTGAGCACTGGTTCTATAAGAGAATTCAGGTGTCTCTTGAGTAGGGGGGGGTTAGCTTAGGTGAAACCGTCCGAGGTATGCGGATTCCTGGGGGTATGAGAATTTAAGATAATGAACCCTTATGTGGAACATATATAATTGGCATAGTAAGAGTTCTGGGGGGGGGTTGCCGCGCATTACCATCCCCCCCCCCCCAATGTATATGATGTTAGTTAAGATTTAACGTTACCAATACTTGCAGAACATTCTTAACATATGTTAACCAGCAATAAGTAAACATATATGCATGTATCACATTTTAACAAGCAAGTCATACATTATATATATATAAAAAAAAAAATTGTGTGAGGTTAATTCAACCAGCATCTTATTTAGCAGTATAAGTGTAAAACACAGATGTTATGTATAACAGTACTTAAAAATAATTGCTATTAATTAGACATATAAATAACCATTGTAAACATAATGACCAAAGGGTATATGCATAATGAATGGTGGAGGCTGGCTGAACTAAGGGTCAACCAGCAGCAAAGAATGACCCCCTTTAAGCCAGGTGCATCCCCCCCCCTCCTTCCCAAGTGTGTAGTCGGTGGGAAACAGGGTCCCCTAACGTTATAGGGGTCTGGTTGTGGCCTGTGAGAGCCATACCACTTCCCCCTACCACCCCAACCCGTCCCCCTCCCCCCCTCCCCTCCCCTTCGAAAGAGATTCCTCCCTGGTGGCCGAAAAAACAGAGACTCCTAGGTAGTAATGGAGTCTCTGTTCTGTGTGTGTGGGAGCTCCTCTTACCGCCCGGACCAGTGGTAGGCGAGGAGGGTAGCCGAGACCTCCGTTCGGGAGCCGGTGGAGCCGCCGGAAGTTGGCGCGTGACGTCAGAAGAGGGCGCCGCGTCTCACCGGAAATGACGATTTCGACCCGGAAGTCGGGAGCGACGGAGGCCTGCGAGACAAGGCTGTTCGTCTGGACCAACGTAGGTAAGTGAGGGAAGGGGGGAGTCCCCTTTTAAGTAGATCTATTGCCCCTCCCACAAATTCAGGCCCTGCCTTCAAACATGTATATATATATATATATATATATATATATATATATATATATATATATAGAACTGATCTAAGAAGGAATCAAGAATGTTCCAACTTAAGAAGTTATAGCTGACGCATGCTGCAGGAAGAAGGAGATATAACTGTTCTATCAATAGGGATCAGTTCACAATATAGACACACAGGGCATTCAATAGTCCAGTTTATTTAAGATAAAGTAAAGAGAAACTTTTATACATTACCAAGAGTCTAGGATGAATTAATTCAATTTGGGATTCTTCTCTCTGGGTGCTCTGGTCTGTAATTCAGTCTATTGCCCTTAGTCAGTCAATCTCCTTCTTTCTTAGCCCTCTGTTTTCTCCTTTGATCTTTTTTTAAGATGATCTGAAGATATCGATCCTCTCTCTTATTTTTCTCCCTATTTAACCATTATTTCCCTCTTATCAGTTCCTGCCCTTTGTTTGTAAATGGGCGGTACCTGGGACTTAAATCTGGCTTTTGATTGGTTATGGGCGTATCTTAATATTTAATTATTAATGTAGCCCTTAGGGACTTTCATCAATAGATGGCACTATTTCCCTAGGTATGAAGACCTGAAGTAGATCATTGATGACCTGGTTAAATAAATGAATTGACCTTTAATTCACCTATACTGGGGATATTTCAAATTACGTTAAATATCTGTCTTTGGTTATGTATATTCTTTAATTGAAACAGGGTTGGTTATATTAATCATCATGCAATATTTCTATATCCTGTATCTATCTAACCTGTATGATTAACTGATTGATACATTTATCTTTACAAAGAAAAATAGAATCTAATTATATTAGTATATCTATATTACCTTTTACCCCTAAATCAGTCAAGGATGCAGTTATAGACATTACTGTAGCAATCACACATTTAGTTTACATTTGTATATCATGCATGATTCCAATAGATTCATTTAAGTTCTAATATCCTGAAAATATGGAAGCGACCTCAGACTTTGTGTTCGTATGGCTGACAAACACTCTGGATTGCCTGTGATGTTTATGCACAAACAATTGCATAGTTTGTATACCCCTTTGAAGCTCTGTGAGTTTAAGTATCTCGGATTGTAAAGTCCCATTGAGTAATAAACCATTGTTCTCATTACCCTTGTACACCTACAGCTCACAAATTAAACTGTAGATAAGTATTCCTCCTGTTTACTTCTTAAGGTTACAAAATACAAAGTTCCTTTGACCTGTGTTGAAACAGTATTACGTAATGTCCAGGCCAAGCTCACCAGAATCCATATTGTTTTCTTTTAATATTAAAAATTATGGGGCACCAAATAGCACAACAATACTATATGTAATATCCCGGAAATCACACACACACACAGTATACAATATATGTCAGATTGTGTGTGTTTGATCTCCAGGATATTATATATGATAAATGCCCACATAAATTCCCCCTACTGATTACCCACCCGATAAGTATTATAACAGGGGCCCGCTGCCGTTTTCACATCCTGTCTGGGCCCCTGCAGTATCTGCTGGCTGGGAGGAAGTGATATGTTGTCACTAGTGATGTACCGAACGGTTCGCTGGCGAACGGTTCCTGGCGAACATAGCATGTTCGCGTTCGCCACGGCGGGCGAACATATGCGCGGTTCGACCCGCCCCCTATTCGTCATCATTGAGTAAACTTTGACCCTGTACCTCACAGTCAGCAGACACATTCCAGCCAATTAGCAGCACAGCCTCCCTAGCAGACCCTCCCACCTACTGGACAGCATCCATTTTAGATTCATTCTCAAGCTGCATGCTTAGTAAGAGGAGGGAAAGTGTAGCTGCTGTTCATAAGATAGGGAAAAGCATAGCTAGGTTAGGGATAAGGGTATGCTTTTTTTTTATTTTTTTTTTCTATGTAATGTAAATGCACTTAGTTGTCTGCCACTGCTGCCAGCTTCTGTGTCAGGCTCACAGTGCATACTGTGCCCATTTCCCCAGTCAGTGCCACCAATTACATCTGGTGTCACAATAGCTTGGATTTAAAAACAAAAAACTTTTTTCACTGTTATAGATTGAATAGCAGTCAGCAGTCAGTTGTCTTCAAGC